GTAAATATGAATACTAGAGATGTGAATTTGTGACACAATTATAATAATTTGTGTATGTGTTTAGAGTTCATCTTCGTAATGACAAAATACTAATACTAGTGGGAAACATGTCACCAATAGGGAGGGATCGTCTTGCAAACTGGATTAGACGTTCAAAAAAACACACAGGAACTAAGTTTTAAGCCAAGTGAGAAAAAAATGTTATGTTACAGATTATTCCAATAGAAATATTATGCTTATAAGCTAAATCAGGTCTGTTGTTCATGTAATAGTGGTTGTGTAACAGGTTGCATTTTAATCTAGTCAGTGACTCGTGAGATACCATCGGAAGTGATTGTGACACAGGCAAACACACTGAGGGATAAAAGATATATCGGTACGACATTACCCCCCCCCCCTGCGTGTGTAATTTGCACATACGAGAACTAACACTAGCAAATTTTAAAGAAATGCCGTATCTCTGATACTATACAAAATAAGCACACCTAATGGCAGAGAAACATTCTTTGTTCATGAATATTTTATAAGAACAGTGTTGGAAATATCATACGACTTACGTTCGCCTGTTGATTCCATTCTGGCAGCTGTATTTACAGTGTCACCAAATAGACAGTACCGTGGCATCTTCTGTCCCACTACTCCAGCCACACATGGACCTGCGATATTTAGACATATGATACAGAAATAGGTAGAACAAGCATATGCGTTACGTTAATTGACATACAACTCACATGTCAGTGAATAATCCTTGTTTGCCCTGTTGACATGTATATCATGCCAGTTTTTATATTATATTACTTTCTAGTGATTACTACATATTACATACGAAAAGTGTATTGTCCTGTTTATGTCAATAACTATTCTGTTGAGTATCAATATTGTTTCCTGACTGTTTAAAAAAGATTTGTAAAAGCTGTTATATTACGCCTACTTTTAGTCCACGCCAGTTATTTCTGATAAAAACAATAGTAATTTTACTTCTAGACATAGGCGTACGACACAATAATTGTGTAATTGCGTAACAAATTTGAGATACTATCTTTGCCATATCAAACCCGAGTAGACTGCTATAAAGCAACCAATACATGACATTTTCACTCCATTTGTACATCAATTTTATTTTTTGTTATGAATGCAGTGAATACGGAAATATAATTTGTTGGATACTGACAATAAATGTAAGGTCTATGAAGTTCATAAAACATCATTACATAAACATTAGAGATCACAATTATTCAAACGACAGCACTGCGTATTGTACTGTACTCAAAATACGTGTCTTAAGTTTGAGATGGTTAGTATTAATGATGATAATGAACTATTTGATACTGTATTCAGACTGGAATGTGGAGATTTGATTGGTAAATTGTTGGTTTAATACTGCGATAAAGACTTTCCGTTTTCGATATTGTGAAATTCTTTCGTTTTTATGTTGGTCTCTAATGTCTGCCTATTTGGAGTTTGTGACAACTTTCAATTGAGACATTAATTTAATATTTTGCCTATTATTTAACAGTTGTAGGTATTTAGCTGGACTAATATCACTATTAAATAGACTGTAAGATCTGAGTTGTGTATCTGGTATATTGATATTATTAATCCACATGTATAATATAATGGTTTTTAGTTTCCAGTTTACCAGCCAGATTAAACTGTAACTGGCATAGTATCATTATTATGTTAAATTATATTACTAATACTAAAATTATTGTTTATTAAATTGTCATTCATTGCCACTGCATGCTCAAAACTAGGAGAGTAGCAAATATAAACTAACATCTCCGTTAAGCTGATTGAACAAAATAATTACCCCGACTTGATTCACAGTAAACAAAAAAAAATATTGTCTTGTTAATTTTGAGTAGCGTTCTACCTTTATGTTGTCTCAATTTCAAATTATTATGACACTATAATCTAGTTAATGGTGCGAAGAATACAAAGTTACCTGTATGTAAACCAATTCGCAATTTGAGACACCTGTCGGGTTGGTGGGGAATCACAATTTCTTTGGCTAATGATACCAGTTTCAGAGACATGTCGGCCATTTCAGAGAAATGTTTAGACCCATTACGGCTAGGCAGACCGGATACCACCATGTATGCGTCTCCTATTGTTTCAACCTGTAAAAATAAAATAATGTCATTGACGATAGAGTGAATTTATGACAAATCGCTGCATAAACATACCTCGCAAATGTGATATTATAAAAATGTTGACCCGGACCAAGGTCAATATACAGATTTGTCGACCAGAAGAGAGCATTGTTGACCTCAACTAAGACTATGTCAATATTTGTATTATCATAACAACAACAAAACATTTCGTTAATAGGCTGCATTCAAGATCTCCCCTGCCCAAGTTTTCAGTGACGTCATCCAAACTTCTCTATGCACAAGTAGCTGTTCCATCACACTTCTAACTGTTCGTATGTATTTATATTCAATAATACCTTCCAAAATTATTGTCACATTTAAGATTTGTGTTGGTAACAACTAGCTGCGGGCGACTGTCTGACTTGTCAAAATCCGTGACCGTATACATCTGACGCGCGCGCATATAGACAAAAAAATCACTGCAGTCGGGCCACTCGGACTCAGAGAAAAATATAACAATACATTTCCGGTTAAATGAAAATTTAATAAAACCCAGATTTGTGTACGGTACACAACGAGTAATACAATTACCTTGATGAAATAAATAGAAGCACTATACGACGGTAAACGACGGACTGGAATACCGGACGTGCGAAAGTGAAGTTATCAGCGCTAGCTATGTACATGGTGCGGCGACTACAGACGGGCCCTGCGACCAATGTAGTTGTTCGGTGATTATCTCTCGGTTACAGGTATGCACATAGAACATAATTCGTCCCAAATAATGCAAGATACTTTGTTGAGCAGATAATGTTACAGTTGCTCGACCTGTCGACACGCCGCGAACCTTAACGATGAATCAGCATTTTTAGTTTGCGAATTGACAGAAGCATAATAGTACATCTTTGTCAACTGAGAAAATATATGACCTCCAAATGCGCAAGTCTAATAGGGCTATGAGTTATTATTATACTATTAACCTGTATAAATGTTACTGTTAATGATACATAATTATAACAATAAAAAACTCACCCACAATGCATCACGTTTACCTCTTATACATTACTGTATTATAAGGTCATGCGATATATTATTGTAGATAAAGTTACGGTTAAATTGTAAAAATAAAAATATTTTTATTCGGACAATATTTATAACTAAGCATGTATATACTACGCTAAACTGTCCTATATTAATGTATATATTTTTGTAGATAAATGTACTTGTATATAACACTTCAAACAATGATTTTTTTTAGCTTCGTGTGTTATATGTGACGAAATTGTTTTTGCGTATCTGTTGATCGACTTAATTAGTTGATTACGAGTGAATGGCTGTATTATGTCTGTCATCGTTTAGGCGAGGTTCTGGACGGAACTTGGCTCAGTGATTTGGAACTAATTACGAGATAACCGTCGCTATTCGGACTACTATTTCTGACAGTAAGTATTCGC